AGCAGGTATCTGCCTTTGAACGCTGAAATTTGAATTTTGTTCACAACAGTGACTCTGTAAATCTGCTAGGTTTTAGTGCACTTGCTGTTTGCCTGCCTTTTGAACTGTGCTAAATTAACTAATTTCTATTAGCATTGCAGACCTATTACAGGACAATAATATGGGAAGGCACTGTTTGTATTTACTAGTATCATCACCTGCTGTCCAGAAAGTGGCTAAGGACCACGTCTTCATTTAAACAAAAGCTTTATAGGAAATCTTTAGAATTGTATCCCCTATGGGAGTTCCTCAGAGTCTGGAATCTTCTCTTATTTGGTGACAATAAGATAGGAGAAGATAGAGCCTAACATGAGCGTCTGGAACAGAGACGAAGTTCAAACTAGAAGGTGTTCAGATATTACAGTGAGGGCATGAAACCAATGAAAAAATATGGATAGCGAAGCCAGCTATAAAGATGTTGAAGTCCTTATACTATAAGAGCAATCCTATATTGATGCACTGACTAAGCAAATTTGATTCAGCAGTGAGTAAAAAAAAAGATGTAAGCAGGACGGGTTTTTTTTTTATAGAGTCACTCTTATGAACATAAGTCTATGTAGCTTTTATTTTAATCTTTTTTATTCCAAGTAACTAAAGCCAGTCAGCTTCTGTTCATATACAAACATGTTTATGGTTTTGTTAGAAACTTACATGAACTTACTTAAAAGTCCTGTGTTAAAACTACTCTATAAAAGTATTGAATTTTCTTCCATATTCAGGATGAGTTCTCTTGACCGACTGAGGCTAAACTGCTTGCTAAAACATTGCTTTTAAGCTAGTTACAGGTCCCATTGTTGTAAGCTGGAAGCATAGAACCTATTGCACCCATCACATTTTCCCCGTCAATCAGATCTGAGTGTACAGGCTATTGATAAATGTGCTGATTTGGGAGAGATCTGTCTGGTCTGTTCATTTAGATGATGAGGTAACCGTGGGGAAGTTCTATGCCACCTTCCTGATACAGGACTACTTTAGGAAATTCAAGAAACGCAAAGAACAAGGACTGGTGGGGAAATATCCTGCGAAGAATACCACGATTGCTCTGCAGGTGATTTTGTTTTTACATTTTTAACTAACCATTTTGTGAGCTTACTTGAAATAGCAGGTAGATGAATATTGATGATTGTGCAGTGCTGCAAGGATTTTATTTAGCTGGGATACTTTTGGCCTTTGTTCATCAGAAACGTAAAACGTAATCCCGCTATGCTGTCTGTTCCGAGGTAAGTGCGAAAAATTATTCTCTGTGGATAACTCACACAGTAGCAATGGTTATAAAATTCCTTAGCAAGTCTAGTTGATACATCTCAATCTGAAGTTGCTAATGTAAAGTGAGATAAATGAACTTTTGAGTAATTTTGGTTCTTCGTTTTTCTTTAGCTTTTTCTTGTGTTCTTAAAATGTTATAAGCCAGTTCACGGATAACTTCCCGATATGCTTTATCTCATAGTAAAGAGGTTTTTGTGCAGTATCGTTTTTCATCTTAATTCTCATTGTTCTTTTTCTCTTCCACTTATGATTACTGGTAAAATACCTTCCTATCAGTCTGTTTTAATATTCGCAAATTTTGAACTTCACATTCATAAATTTCTTTTATACAAAGTAATATGCATTAATGTCATATACTTCTGTCTGTCTCTTAAAAGAAGCTGTCGAATGGAAACCAGGAAAATAGATTTGGCCATCTGTGTCTCAACGGGCCTGCAGCAAGCAGTCCATAGAGTATATGTGATCTTAAAACTTCTGTCCAGTGATATTACGAACTTCTGTCCTTTGTGTTATGAACTTTGACACAAGCAAATGGAAAGCTGTCCTCAAATAATTCCAGACATCATACACTGCACCATTTTTATTGCATTGGGACTTCCTGAACTTCTATTTGTAATAGGTAGATTCTTACAAACTATAAAGATGTTTAATGTTTCTGATAGTTTTTTATTCTGATGCCAAAATTTAGGAGTGTATTGTGAAAAATCCTTTCTAAAAAGGGAAAATGTGTGTTAACCTGATTCAGATACTGTTTCCTTTGTTAAAACTCCTGCTAGTTTGTACTTTTATCTTTGCTGTCTTAAGCGGGTTATTTGTTTTATTTCTCTCTTCTAAGAATGTCTCTGCTGGCAGCTCTGACACACGTTGTCTCTTCTCCTCTCTCTTTTCATCTTTCTGTCTTTTTCTCCCCATTTTCCTCTGTTCTACTTTTGTCTATCTAAAGAAATCAGTAGTGACTCATTTTGATTTACCAAATAAAAGTGGAAATGCAGTTTCAGAGAAACCTGAATCCTATGGTTGGGAAAAAGCCCAGTCTTAAGGGTTTCTAATCAAGTATACATATATATAATTATATATATGATTTTATATGTATAATTCAATGTAGAAAACTACAGCAAGTAAAAAAGCCAGAATAATAATAGAATTATAACTATAGAATTATATAGAATGATAATTATAGAATAATTATATAAAATACAGATTTATAACAGACCTGGATATATTTCTGAAAGGGATGTTGTACTTGAAGAAGGATTTGATCTCTTCTAATCAATGCCCCTGAGAGCAGGCCTGGAGAGTGTATTTTAAGGAAGTTATTACAAATGATCACAGAGGATCTTTTTGGCCTTATGTAAAAAGCTGATGTCTCTCCATTTTCAGCCTCTTCATTCCACACTTGCTTTGTAGAGAGCTTAAATGCTTGTAAAACTTCAGTGTTTTAAAACCCCTGTGTTCTTAACAACCATTTTTTCCAGAATATGTTATGGGTATACCATCAACTTGTTATTCAACTTAAGGAATTAGTTGAATGATCTGTGAATTGCTTGTAACTATATGAGGGTATTATTTCAGTTCTTGGAGAGCTAATAGTAGCTATTCTTTCCATTTATTCTCTCAAATGCTCTAAGTAAACTGATCTTTACAGATCTTTCTGGTGAACGGTATACTGAAAAAAGGAGAAGCATGCAGCGTCACTGTCTCTCATCCACTTTCTTAGGGAAATTGTGATGACTTATGTCAATACAAGTCACGCCTCCATTGTAAACACTGGAATTCCATGTAACAGTTATGGTGGATTTTATGTCTTTATCATGCTGTTCCTGCT